AGGAATAAAGCTTAGCAAAGTAAGAAGCAGCAGCCAGGGACTAGAGAGAGGCCTCAGTGGATAAGAGCATTGGCTTCTCTTGCCGAGGACCTGGCTTCTGTGTCAGCATCTACATGATGGCTCACAATCATATGTAATTCCAGTTCTCGGGGATTCCTCTCCTGCCACCCACTCCCCAAATAACCACCCAGAGATTTAATATCAATTATAAATGCTCAACTGATAGCTTAAGCTTGTTTTTAGCTGGTTCTTATAACTTCAATTAACCCATTTCTATTAACCTATGTGCTGACCCGAGGCTCATTCATCTTATGTATGTACTTCCCATCCTGCTCTGGCTACCATCTCATGGAGTCTCTTCGACTCCATTTCTTTTTCTCCCCAGCATTCTCTCTGCCCCCCCCCCCGCCTAGCCATTGGCCAATCAGCTTTTTATTAACAATGAGAGCAACAGGTCTTCACAATAAGTGTGTACAGAAGGATCATTCCACAGCAATGAGCAGGCACCAGACACACACATGGTGCACACATACATATGTAAGCAAAATACTCATACACATAAAATAAAATACAAAGGAATCTAAAAATAATCACTCCAGGATGCCACAGGAACTGTGGGTGCAATTCTCCAGATACCCAGTGAGCACCATCTGCCCTTCACAGAAAGATCTTAGCAGCCCAGCAAAGGTCAAGGGTCTGACCAGGGCACCTTGCTGACTATCTGGCCAGAATGTTTTTAAAGGAGTTTAGTCATTCAGCAAGCAGATGGTAACCTTAGCCCCTAAGGAAATTCAACATATGCTAAACATCATGAACAACAGTTTCGACCATACCAGAGCATCTTAGTTATTTTATGTTGCTGTGACCAAACACCATGTCCAAAGCAACTTATAGAAGAAGTGTTTATATGGGCTTATGGTTTCAGAGGTTTAGAGTCAGAGTCCACGATGGCCAACCAAAGGCATGGCAGCAGGAAGAGCTGAGAGTTCATATATTGAGCCACAAGTAGGAAGAGAGAGAGAGAGAGAGAACGAACGAACGAACACTGGAAATGGCACTAGTTGTTTAAACTTTAAAGACTTCCCCTGGGACACACACAACAATCCATGTCTCCTCGTCCTTCCTAAGCAATTCCACCAACCAAATGGGGACCAGGCATTCAAATATACCAGCCTATGGGGCCATTCTCATTCAAACTACCTCATTCTACCCCATACCCCTTAGTGACTCATGGCCATAACAAAATGAAAAATGCATTTAATCCAACTCCAAAAGTCCCCATAGTCTCTTTCAGTTTCAACATCATTTTAAAGTCCAAACTCAAAGTCTCTTCTGAGATTCAAGGCAATCTCTTAATTGTAACTCTCTGTAAAAATCATAAAGCAAATTAATACTCCCAGCATCCAACATCACAGAATGACCATTGCCATTCCAAAATGGAGGAATGGGGCACAGTGAGGACCAAAGCAAAATCAGCATATCCCCCCCCTCCCCTGGCCTCCCCCCCCCCCCCCCCCCCCCCCCGCCTCCCAGGACCAAGTCTAAATTCTTTAGCTTCGTGTCTGGTGTCAAAGGGCTTAATGGCTCTTCCATTTCCATTGTACTCTCTGAAACACACTTCTCTTTATGGGGCTGGTTCCACTCCCTTTACATAGTTGTTCTGCTCAGCAGATGGCTTGTCTCTCTCTGTCTCTCTGGCATGCCCGGCATTTTGGGGTCTCCAACACAACCCAGGCTTCACTTCCACAGTTTTACAAAATCGCTTCTTGGGGACTCCATACAAGGACTCTCCTGCCCCATGCCCGGTCTCAGGAGCTCTCCGGAACTGCGGAGGAAGATTCCACAACCCCTTTACTCATGTCAATCTTTGTGATTCTAAAGCTCAAACCACATGGATGACACCGCCAAATCTGACCACCAAGCGGGGCGAACCCTGGAGGTCAAGAACCACATTGGCAGCCTTGATTTGTTGTAGCCTTTTAGGACAGAGAATTCCTTAGGTCTTTTGCTTTCACAATTTGGACACTTAGGTGGTTGGGGTCTTGCCTTGAAGGCCCCCCTTCTTTATTTCATTTTAGATCAGGCCTCTGCTTAATTTCCTCATCTTTTCCAGCACAAACCCTGGCTCCAGTGTTATATTTCTTTGTGATTTTTTTTTTGCTTTAAACTGATCATTTAGTATTTCTTTCTATCCCACTTCTTCATTTTCACTGTAGACCTTAGACTGTAGACGTAAGAGAGATTGCAAACAACAACATCAATGTTAAGATGCCCCCGAATCTCCAACAACAACAAAATGATTTGTTACTATTCAACTTAGTTTTAGGCAAATTCTTAAGACAAGGAAAGAAAGCAGAGACATTCTTTGCCAAAGTGTTACAGGAGAGGTCTCTATCCCAGTTGCCAATATTGGTCCCCTCTGAAACCTCCACAATATACATAGCTCTCAATATTACTGTCTTCCAAGATCCTACTTGAATGGTCCATTACGTTCTGCTTACAGCATTCAAACACTCTCCTTGCACATTCCCCCCCAAAGAACTGCAAAATGAGGCCTGTCGTGGCAAGAGGCCACTCCCTGGTACCAAGTTCTATCTTCGGTATCTTTTTATTGCCTTTATAAGACACCATCACCAAGGCAACTAATAAAAGAAAGCATTTAATTGAGCTCACGATTTCAGAGGGTTAAAGCCGATGATGTCAGAACAAAGACATGGCAGCAGAAATGGCTGAGAGCTCACACCTTGATTCATAAGGAAGAGGCAGAAAGAGCCAACCCTGAGAGTAATACTAGTCTGTTTTGACCTCAAAACCTATCCCCAGTGTCACGCCTCTCCTAACAACCCACACCTCCTAATCCTTTCCGAACGGCTCCACCAACTGGGGGTCATCTATTTGAATATATGATCACAATTCAACCACCACACATAGAATAATTTATGCTCATGATAACTTATATACAAGCATATATCTTTTGAGAAATATACTTGATTAGTCTCTAGTTCCATATCTGAACTTCTCTGAATATTGATTCCATTTTTTTTCTGTCTAGATCAAAAAAAAAAAAAGGTCAGGATCATGGAAGCTAAATTGGTAAAAAATCAGGGTGGGAATAGCTTGAAGGTGAGGAGACTTGATGAACTGATTTCTGTGACTATGCTTCCAAAGGGCATGTGTTCATGTTTAGAAGAAAAAATGATGTGCTTTATCTCTGGTGATTATGGTTAGGACTGGTAAGGAGAAGTTTAAGGGAAGCAGATGTCATTTACAAACAGAATGTTCTAGCAGTCAGAACTACTTCACTCTGCAAAGATGCAAAGGCCATCAAGAGAGTTGCAGCCTAGGATGCTGTGGTGGGTTGAAAGAAAATTGCCTCAAAGTGAGTGGCACTATTAGAAGGTGTGGCCTTGTTAGAGGAAGTGTTTCATTGTGGGAGGCAGGATTTGAGGTTTTCTATGCTCAAGCTATGCCCATTGTCATGGTTTACTTCCTGTTGCTTGCGGATCAAGATGTAGAACTCTTGCTCAAAATGTAGTTCCTTCTCCAGCACTATGTCCACCTTCATGCTGCCTTGACCCACCAGGATGATAATGGACTAATCCTCTGAAAGTGTAAGCCACCTCGATTATTTAATTTCCTTTCTGAGAGCTGCCATGGTCATGGTCTCTTTACAGCAATAGGAACCCTAACTAAGAAAGGTGCTAAGGTGATTTGAATGAGAATTATCCCCAGAATATTTGTTTAAAGACTGAAGCTAGTGTTTAAATTCAAAGAGTCTAACTCAGAGGCTGATTGCTTCCCAATGTCAGAGCAGTTGTCACTCCATAGACTAACGTATAGTCTACTGGACTTAATATAAGGACTGGTACAGGGCAGGGACTCGATAGATCCCAAGTCCCTTCTGCCCACCAACCTTGTGACTTTAACCTAAACATACCAGTGAGCCAAGGGTTACCTTTTAGGGTTGGGCCCTTTGAGACCCTCATCCTTAGCTGGTTACAAGTGGCAACAACTGTTCTCATGATCAAATCAAGGCACCATATGGTGCCTTCTAGTTCTTAGGAACAAAGCATCTTCCTTCAAGTCTCCTTTCATATCTCATTTAACAGAGTTGGGCCACAGTCTTATCCCTAAACTAATCAATGGTAAAAGGAGGTCAAGCAACTGACTAAAGGAAGGAAAAGGAAGCTAATGGATGCTGCATAGGTCAACAACTATACCCCCAAACCCATATTTTCCTGGTAAACAAACAAGGCTTAGAAGAATTTAATTAATATACCAGAGTCCAAAGGTAGGAGTGTGGCCATCATAGTAAAAGTGGTTCACAAGTGAAGGAGACTGAGGGCCAGGTCAGAGCAGGAAGGGGGCTGAGGACCTTGGTTCTCACCTACACGGCACTTTGAAGTCAGTTTCAACAAGACTGAATATGTCACCCTCCTAAAGTTCTAGTTTACAGAGACTGGAAAACTCTGAATATCCAGATGTTTTTAAAGCTGTCCAGAATGGATCAATGTGCCACCAAGATCAGAATCACCAGTTTAGGCAGACAACTGTTGACAGTTCAAGAGTTAATGCTGGAAGCACAGCACAGACAGGGAAGCGGGGAGCCTGCCTCTGCTGCTTCCTCCCAAGTAATTGCGACCTTTATTGAGGACAGCCATGCTCCAGCCACACATGTGACCCAGCGCTTGACGTCTGGTCAGGCAGTTAATGATGGAATGAATCACTGATGATGTACGCACAGAACACCATCTTCAAACCACCCTACAAAGTGCATCCATTCTACAGATGAGAAAATCAAGACCCCGACTTTCTATCCTTCATGACCTATCAGCCAAAGAAATTAGGATGCCAATAAGAAAAACCAGAATTCAGAGAACAGTAGCAGCCCGGACTAGGGCCCTCTTCGGGTGGCTTCTCCCCCTCTTTCTCCATTCCCCCTTCCTCTCCTCTCTTCCTGTCCCGAAAGCCTCACCTTGCATCTTACTTATTCTGTTTAGGAATTCTCCTGGACTCTCTCATCCTCCTGGGAACCTCAGCTTGCTGGAAAAGAGGAAGAATGGATTAGAGATTCTGACTGAGGCATAGCTGGAAGTCGGGACCGTCTGGACTCTGTGTCTGAGGAATCGCAGCCATGGGAAATGACCACAGCCCTGCATACTGGGAGACCTAGGAGCTAGCCAGAGCTCAGTACCTCATCTGTGGTGTGACCTTGAGTAAATTCCTTATTTCTCAATTCCAGTGTCGTCATGACGGGTTTGCCTCAAAACATTTGGGTCACAAACCTTTAGCTCTGAGGTCTAGGCGTCTAAACCGGTGAGCAGGCATAGACAAACCCTGTCAAAACTGGTGTGAACTAGCTGAATCCCGGAAGCTGTTGTTATGAGGGCTGGAAGACTCGGCACTGTGAGGACTTTTGGGTTGTTTTTCTGAAGGATTGATTGCTATTAAATCTATGTTTTTATCTGCTATCTTGGCCCAGTGGTAATAATAGTAATAAATGTGTTTGTGATGAAATAAACAACAGCCAAAAAATAAAAAACCATGAAACTGGACTGAACTTGACCTCATCTTTGAGAGCTCTGGGCTAAATTAAAGGCACTTACTAGCTCAAGTGGCAAATACACACCACAGAACACAGACTTTGACATTTCTGCATTAACGGGAACTTCTCTTCAGGAAGCAAAATTGAAGTGGCATCATCCCCATCACTACTCCTAAACTTTGGTACACATCTATTCTCAGGGTCCCTGGAGAAAGAATCCCCTTTCCAAAAATCTGATTTTAAAAGCTAGGCTAACCGCTTCCTAGAGGAACAGTGCCCTCTGCTGGAAGAGTGCAGCAGAGCAATGCCAGCGCTGAGATTACTTAGAAAAGTGACTGTTTTCTCTTGAAATAGGTTTGATGAAGAATAATAAATAACATATATATGCATACGCACGGATGGTTTGATGTATGTTAGGCAAAAGCTAGGCTTTGGTGCACTCATTTGGGAGTAATTACACTTGATCTATAAGAAGAAGTAGAGGATTAGAAAACGGACGAAAACGTTTGTTAGATTGACAGACAGCAATCTGGAATGGGCAGGCACGGAGAGAAAGCCGGATCTCCAGGCAGTGTTCTGAAAACTGTAGACTTGTGGCAATTTACTGAAGGTCTCAGTGATTGCTTCCATCGCATTTCTGTGATAATAGCTCTACAGGGCAAGGACAATTAGTTAACTCCATTTGACAAATAAGGAAAGTGGAAGCCAGAGGTGTGCCTTTGATCACGAAAAAATAAAAACAAGTATTAATCCCTTTCTGAGTGTCTCTATGTCTCGATTTTCCTATTTATGAAGCAGAGGTAAAGACAGCATCTGCCTATGCAGAAAGGTTATTTGAGAATACCCACGAATGTCAAAAGAATGTCCCCGAGTGGATCAGAGAGGAAAGTATCAGCCAGCCGGCATCCTAAGGGACCTCTCTCAGGTGTCAGAGCCAGGTTCCTGATGCCAGTGGGTGATATCAAGGTCTTGTGAATTGTTGGGAGTCCTTAACAGTCAGAGGTTGCAGTCTGTCATGGCCTGACAGCTCTCTCCTAAGCTCGGCAACATGAGAGACTCCCTCCACAGCGAGACTTCCCGCTCTCTACCTGTCCTTATCTGGAGACGGTCTCTAGGCCTGGAGGACTGACCTTACCTGAAAGCGGTCTGGATGCCTGGTTTACCTTTATCGTTACCCTCGGCACAGTTTCCTGCTGGAAACGTTTCCCCGGCTGCACGAATGGTAACTATAGGAGCTTTGCTATAGATCCTACGGCCACATAAGAAGCCTTATGATAGGAGTGCATCACTTAATGCAAATTATGGCCTGTCCCCAGGCTCCTCAATCCTGTAGATTTTCTATACTTTGCAATAAAGTTGCTCTGATTCGCTCACGTCGCCTCCTGGAGGACCATCTCGATCATATCTACAGCCGTCTGAACTCTGTTCCCCTGCTTCTGCTCCCTCCCTCCTCAGGGACCTGCAGCCAAAGCTCCTGAGGAAGAAAGAGAACCACAAGGAAATGAGTCAATATGTAAAAAAAGTTTAGAGTCATTCCCAAACTCACCTGTCCTCAGCTAAAGCAAACATGCTAGGTCATCGTGTGACAACCTGGAAATCTTGGTGCGTGTCTAAGGTCTCCCTGTGGCATGGGGGTTTGAAGCCCAGGAAACTACATCTTCCATAATTCTTCCTCCCAGCACACATTCATTTCCTAGAATCACCTGACAAAGTACCACAAGCGTGGTGGCGTAAACAGTGGAAATTATTTTTTTCTATTGTCATGGAGGCTAGGAGATTTCGACCAGTGGGTTAGTAGGTGGCTTCTTCCAAAGTCGCTCTCCTCTTGTGTAAGACAATCTGCTTCTGTGCCATAGTCTCTTCCTGTAATGACAGCAATGGGGGGGCTAAGGCCCACCTAACATATTTTATATTACTTATATTACTTCTTTAAAAGTCATATTCCCAAATCCCGCCACATTAGGAGGTGCTAGGGATCAAGACTTCCAAACAGGGATTTCAGATGATACATTTCAACCTTTAGTTTCTGGATGACAGCCACACATTAATTTGACAATTGTCACCTAGAAGAGTAACTCAGTAAATGATGCTTGAATCGGCCAATGAGTATACAAATGCTAAGTTATGTGTTCCAGTGCATGCAGAGATGTCCATCATCTGTGCGGCCTTCCCTTCCCTCAGCACTTTAGTTCACAGTTCAGGGCCTTGTGTGAGTATGTGATGCTCCCCAAGCTTACAAGTCCTCTGCTCGTAATCCATATGAAAAATATCCACTCACCTGCCACAACATAGCTGAACTACCATATTGCCAGAGAAGAGTGTGGCCTATGTGCAATGAACATTGGCATTTAAAGTTACCTCCTCCTTAGTCTAAATCCAGATCTTCACACGTATTGTGAGAAGTTGTTTCAAGAGTTTATTAGGTAATAAGTAAAACAAACAAACAAACAAAAAAAGAAAATAAATTGAGCCATCATTTTCTGCAGCTGTGAACTGTATTTCCACAGGCAAAGCCATCTGGTACCACCACCATGTCTCTTATTTGGACTTTTCTGAAAGTCCCAGTGTTCTACTTACATAGAAAACATGGCTGTAACAAGGTGCCAGGTGTATGTGACGGCCCCAGCGTTCAACTACACACTAGATAAGCTAGAACTTGCACATCGTCAACTTCTGCATGTTGACTGGATCCAGTGTGCACTGCTGTGCTAGAAGAGATCATTCTTTGGCTTCACTAGGACTGGACAGCAAGATTTGCAAATTCCCATTTTTGGGCACTGTTATTCAGAATGGCTGCATTTGCGGTAAGACTGCTGGACACAAATAGGAAGGGTGGACCCCTCACCCTCTCACCAACCCCCGTCTTCACCATGTGTGGCAGTCATCCTGTAGACCCTTTAGGTTCATACTGAATTTTGTCTACTGTCAAAATCCTTCTCTTTTTAATCCATACATGCCAGCAGCTGCCTTCATGTTCAAGTCTGTTTTCTGGAAGAAACACCTGTGCATTTACCACCACCCAGCTTGAGGTCTAAGTAAGATAAAAATACACTTCAAGGAAATAACATTCTAGATGGCTACAAACCGATTCTTGCTCATTTAAGCTTTATCATGCAACTCAGGTCATTAAGACCAGATCTGATGAAAAAAATTACTTTGGAACCTATGTATGGTGGATCATCCTTATAATCCTAGCACACAGAATGAGAGAGAGGTCAACAGACTATTGTGGCTGTAAGGCCAACCTGGTCTTCATAGTAAGTACTAGGCTAGCCAGAGTCATAGAGAGAGAGAGAGATCTTGTCTCCCTTAAATCCAGAAATAATGCATCTGAGAAGAGCTGAAATAGGTTTGGGGGGTGACCAAAACATACGGTAAAATTCTCAAAGAACTAATAAAGAATTGTGATGATGATGATGGATGATGATGATATATTTGAAACACTAGGTCATAGCCTTTAGACAAGTTTCCTAAAGTCCTTCCAAGTTTCCTGTGTGGCCCACTGTAAGACCTCCATAGAGTGTACTAGCATATAACGAATTAATATAAACCTAGGATACCGTAAATGATTAGTAAATAGTATCTGTTCTTATGCCTCAAAAGAAAGCCACTTACTTTTCACAGAGTACACGCCCTTCCTCAACAGCATGCACAGAACGCCTTTACCTATTCAGCTTGCAAAATAATATTAAATTAATGAAACCGTTACGGTGAAATTGCATAAAATATAATGGTGTCTGGCATTTTAAGAGTTCTAAAATTTCATTGCAATCTTATTTATGCCATACTAAAGCCTAGGTTACTACCATGAGAGCTGGAATGATTACTGAGCATGTGTGCATTCTGTGTCCATTGCCTATGTGTGGATTGGGAAAGGCAGGTGAATATCACATATTCGGCATCTACCATGGAAAAGGCAAGGTGCATTTCATACTTTATTTCTCTGGACCCGTTTCAAATCTGAGAGGATGTATCAAATGCCCAGCATGGTGTGGTGGAAGGTCAAGGACTGGAGCGTGGCCCCTTTCATCACAGTCTGTGCACGTAGCATAGAACAGAGGCAAAGGCACATGTCCAATAAACCGACAAGAACACTCTCCTGGGGGCCAGACAGCTGCCTGACATCGGGTGTTCGCTGAGTCTCAGCGCCTGGAGACAAGTATGTGGGAGCCAGTTCTCTACTTACTGCCCCCTGATTTTTGGCAGATTCTTAAGCAGGCTGCACCTAAGTCAAATCAATTATGCAGTAGAAATCAGGATAGTATATCTCTTACAGAAGTTGCCTTTACCCAAGGATTGAATTTTATTTGGCGATATTCAGCCACGGTACAAAAATATTAATTGGAAAAGTCTACAAATTCATAAGTTTAAAGAGTATTTATAGTATTCTTATAATGGTTCTATTTTATTAGTGGTATCGCTAGTCTCTCTCTGTTCCTAATTTATTTATTTTTTTTAATATTTATTTATTCACTTATTATGTATACAATATTCTGTCTATATGTATGCCTGCAGGCCAGAAGAGGGCACCAGACCTCATTATAGATGGTTGTGAGCCACCATGTGGTTGCCGGGAATTGAACTCAGGACCTTTGGAAGAGCAGGCAATGCTCTTAACCACTAAGCCATCTCTCCAGCCCTCTGTTCCTAATTTATAAAGTAAACTTCCAGAGGAACATATGTATAGGAAGAAACTTAGCATCCACAGGGGTCAATACTGCCTATAGTAACCGCATCCAGAAGAATCCTGGGACCATGTATCATGCCTGTTTTGAGAAATGAAGATTTCATTCCTAAATAAGTAGTTCTCAGAGCCCCTAGGTGAACTGCTGAGGAAACCCAGGATGCTACCCCTCCAGCAGACTAGGCCAATCTGAGCCTCGAATCCCCTAGGACCCAGAATCTGTCTCTGGTGAGCAGCAAGGCCCTCTTTCAGCGTTAACAGCCTCACAGCTGATGAAGGGAAGGTGATTGTTTCC